TGCTTCCATCTCTTCAGGGCTGGACATGCGGCTCAGTCCAAATTCCCGAGGAATTGGGAAGCCGAACCGTATATCGATGTATGCTTGGTCATTCTCGTGGACAGGAGCCAATTTGAGGGCGTTGAAGAGAATTCTCATGATCTTGGCGAACACTCTATCGTAGCCTCTGTCTCTCGGGTGGGGAAAGTCGATCACGCTAGTGGTATAGTCACCGTCCCCATCACCTTCATTTTCTTCAAGCTCATCCTCAGATGAGACATAGCCTGCATCATCTCTAGCTCTCAAAAAGTCCCCTCTTGTATCTAGTCCAGGAGGGAAAATGATGGGAGTATCCCACGGTCGCGGAAGCGGAAAGGCGATGAGAACAGCGATGAAGCGAACATACCCCAGGCGCCGTTCAGTGAGGTAGCCGTGCTGTGCCGCCTCAATCAGCCTCTTGGGCGAGATGACAAGGGTATGGAAAGTGAAGGGCTCAAAAGCGAGCTGCCAATTGCGTGAAACGGCGGCGTATGGGGCAAGGGAATTGTGTCGTGACAACGTTCGGGGGATTTTCAACGTGTCATTAGAGTCCCAGACATCAAAGACGGTGTTGATATCAATTTGCGGTCCAGACGCAGCAGCCTCCGCTGCGATCATGGAGAGGAGTTCAGTTGAGAGGCGATCCATTTTGAGTTTGGGGAGCGCTCGCTGGCGGTTAGAGTTAGTCTAGACTAACGTACCTAGATTGTTGATGATATCGATACGTAAGCGGGCGCGAATGGGAATAAGGATCTCACGTGATGGATACGTCACGAGTCTGGCGGTCAACCAAGACATGCAAGTCAGCACGACAAAACTCATGCCATGGAGAGGTTTTCAGAGGCAATTGCCAGTGCTTCCATATTCACTGGCATTAAATTGTCAGAAATAAACCATTGCGCAAAGTGAAAGCTGTTTGTGAATATCTGTTGCCGTGTTTGACTGTGAACAAATGATCCAGGAAGCGCCATCAAAGCATCATCAGTAACTTGAGCACAATTTTGAGACTATTTATAAAAGAATACTAAGCTCACTACTGTCTCAATCATGGAGCGAGATTTCAAGTCCATCACGTTAAGCGAGTGCCTTGCAGCAGCTCGTTAGGGATCCCTCAGTGAGTAGAAAAGCCAAGGCACTATGATTCCTTTGACTTTCCACTGAGCTTTGCCGGGAAGTTTCTGGTAAACAAGTGATAATACGCCGGCTTTATCCATTCATAAGACCTGACATGGCATGTCATACTGTTCTTGCTGGAAGAAAGACATCGGTATCAATTTGCGCGAAGTTTGGTATCTATCATTATACTTCATATCATACAATGCAAAGTCGCTATAACAGCCTGAAGAGGCTTCTTCATTCCCTTGACAAAAAAGAATACCTTTATTCAGCTCCCCCCAAAGATCCCCTACTCGTAGTATATTCTTGTCTCATTCTTAACTTGAATGCCCTGTACACTTGTGTTGCGTGCGTGGCTGTCAGGTCTCTCATCGGCACAACTAGTGATGACAGTGTTGTGATTGGGGACACGCTCTTGGTAGCCATGAAAGTTCATATCGTCAGATGATCCGTCTTCAAGCTCGGCAAGCTGTCGTTGAGAACTATTGTCGTCGATTTCCTTTGTTCGAGTAACGTTGGTGAGCTTGATACCACGGCTGCTAGTCAAGCCGCTGATAGGATTGGGAGCACTTGAGTTGGACTTGGATGAAAGTATCGAGCTCGAGATGAACTTGCGGAAGATAGGTCGGATAATAGGGAGACAAGCTGCCAATGTTAGTATAGAGGTCGGTGATAATACTATGCTACTTACAAGAAATGATTGCGAGATAGGCTTCTGTGCCTGCCCAGATAATGACTCCCCTAATGTCCCTCGCCATTTCAGTCGTCTTAGGATTGAGGTTGATTGCTTCGATAAGCACGATGATTGAAGCTATACAAACGCTATGAGGGAGGTCAAGTTAGCTTCATATCAACACAAAGCAACAGAGATGATGAGGTAAAAATGGAGGTAAAAATGACCAAGACTTACAAGATACCAAACATGAACAAAGCGACGACAGCGATCTTCTGGCCCGGGCGAAGCTTGAGATTCTTGACCTGAAATACGGGCAACGACAACACGGCAATCTCGAGCATAAGATGCACCAGCGTCGTACCGAACATGAACTTGGCAGGGTCGATATTGCATACAGCGTTCTTGATGTTGTGATCCCAGTAGGCGTTGACGGGTATGCAGTGGAAGATGGTCATGAAAGTTCGGATGGTGAGCCAGATCACGGTGCATCCCTGAAGGATACGGATTCCCATTCGGATGTTCGAGACACTGAATAGGCGCCAGTAGAAGCCGAGGATGGCAAGCTTAGAGAAGCCAAGGGACATTGCGTATGTGAACTCGGCAATGAATAGTCCTTTTCGTGCGTACTCCTCAACTGTCTCTGCTGGTAGAGGAACCTCCGACTTCGCATGGCCAAGACCCATGTCCACAGCCCCTGGATAGATTTTAGTATGCTATGGCTTGACTACCTTGATGGAGTCTGATGAGGCATGAAGATGTCCATGTACATACAGTAAATTGTGAAGCTAAAGTAGAGAGAAGCAGAAATCTTGGGAGGAAAAGATCAGTGAATGGATACTATCAGAGGGACAAGTACAACTCACCCAGGACATCATCGCGAAAAAGTCATCCCACCACAGTGCGACGTGTGTAAGCCTTCGAGATATCAGACGACAGACCAAGAGAGTTGTGGCGACAGAGTAGGTGATGATCTGAGAGCTCATCACCCCAGCATCGGGTGTGTAGTGTGTTGCGGTCGCCATTGTCGGTGAGTGAACAATGAGAGAGCGGCAGAAGAATAAGATTCCGCGGATGGATACCACGACAAATTATGTATCAGTACCGATGGATCTGCGCAATTACCCGGTTGCTGGGAACTGGAGAAAGAGATAAACGAAAAACGAAAAACGAAAAAGAAAAGGTCCCGCAGGGCGGATTTCTATATGAATGAAACAGAGACGAGAATCAAGGCACGAGATGTAATGAGGAAGAAGCTAAGAAATAGGATCTACAGCACTACAAAGACGAAGAAACAGGGGAAACGGCATTGTTACTCATTTTCTACTAACCGTCAGTGCACTAACTCAACCAACAGCAAGAAGACGGGCTAAAAACAGACGACGTCGCATTTAGACTGTAGATCTCACAGACCGTCTCCGGGGAACCTTGTCGATCGACAATGTGCCCAAGTAGGATGATATGGCTCCGGCACCTCTCATTCGCCATATGCCAGGTCCTGACGTCGTAACAAGTCCTGTGTTATGCCCTGACTCTTCAGCGTAAGGGCTTCATCCTGGAAGAGACGGGAAAACGCAAACCAGGGGGATCCTCCTGTTAAGGTTTGCTGTGGATTTTGATGAGGCGTTAGGGGAGGATCTTGGCATGTTGATCCGCTGGGAATCACTTCAGCTGGGAATATCCGATAGAATGCTGACCTCCCGTACGCCACTGATGAGATCCCAGACCGTGGCTTGGACGTTTGGAGGAAGCATGCAGCCTTGACTTGACTGAAACGAGAAGAGTAATCAATTCGTACGCCAGGGAAAATGCCGAAAGTTTAAATTGCTGTACGTAACCAAGCCAAAGCTGTCGAGTAATGCTAGCGTCGTTTTGGCACATTGAACCCCTAACGGCATATGAAAGAGGGTCCGAGTCATAATCGACGCGGGGGTTGCCTTGGCTATGCTTGGCAATTATTCATGGCCGAAGCTACAGCTCGATTAGGCTCCTTTGTGAAACACCCATCACCGGTCCGTTCGGATGGGCTATCAAGATAACGGTAATCACTTCGTTGGTGTTGGCCTATCTCGAGTTCTTAGCTCGATGTGCAGAAGATCTCTCCATGAGATGGGGTTAGTCTGGGGGAGGCAAGGAAATCCCCCGAATCCTGTGCCAAATGACAAAAGGCTTGCATGAGTTTGGGTCAAATAAGGCAGATTTGATATGGATATACTCCGTAGTAAACCTTTAGCCAACAATTTTGGAGCCTTTGATCTACCGCTAATGTTTGTGTCTCCCAAGGAGCTTTAAGCAGGCTGAGAGTGAGAATTGCTTGAAAGAGACGCAAGAAGTATTTAGCTAGAATGTTTAAGTTCCATCTCATTTGAAAATACGATCTGTGTTCAAAGTGCAAGCCTTGAACTTTCAGCATACCTGGTGAGCTGATAAACGCGTCCAGCATTCAGCCAAGACCCTGGAGAAGGCCTCACTTCTACTCCGTAGTCCAGCTGGCCATTTCGAATCCTTCGTGAGGCATTGGGCTTCTGCTGCAATTGGGCGGTAATTCGCTGCCTTATTTTGCAGCCCAGAACCCATGTCGTAGGGATGTCACTGCCGGGGAGGCTAGGAAACCTTGACGCCACAATTACTAAATGAAGACGGGGACTGAATCGTGCGAGTAAAGGGAAAACAGTTTGCCGGCCGCCGTAATATCCAGCCAGGATTCAGCCTTTCTTCATTCGTAAATATGGCAAAAGATCGGCATACTAATAGAGTACTTATGCTAGCTGAGGGTTCTAATGCAGTTCGTCACAGAACCAACACTCGCCGAGAACAAATTGGACCCTGATATGCCTATGAGAGATACGAGAATGTCATGTTGGTACCCCCGGGCTGAATGATGACTCGGACCTTAGATGTCACGAGGAATGCTGATCAATAGGGCCCACAGTCTAGTAGTTTTGTTTCATGGGCTGAAGCCATGGGGGTGATAAATTCTGCAGTTGTATGCAGTTTCAGGGGAAATGTGACATTGTTATATGTTGAAGTTGACTGATCTGCTCGGAAGCAATGCTATTTTGTGAAAGAACGCCGCTAAAACGCATCCTAACATTGAACCAATGATTGGCACAGCAATGATGACCATGTAAAGCGGATTCAAAGTTCTCGAGATAATAGTAAATGCTCTTGCATCTTGATGAAACGGGGTGCCTCAAGGAGCGGGAGCCCGCGCAGGAGCGGCCTCCTGTAGCCCTGTCTTTCGGTTCAGCTCAATTTCTGGCAGTTCAAAATCCTTGACTCACATTCCCGAAGCCTTTGGACAATAATGCCCCTTGCAGGCCTCCAAAAGATCTCAACGGGTTCATTGGGGTGCGGCCTCTTGAGATTCACTTCAATAACTTTGATACCATTACTGCTATTGTCCTTGTGAAAATCTTTGTTCTCGAAACCGACAAATTCGCGGTCATTCACCCTTGTAAAGCTCAATATGTCTAGCGAAGTTTCTTTCTCAAATAGGGCTTGCGACACCATCTTCCCGAGGAAGAACCAGAACGGGTATGGATAGTTATAATCATGCTTAATCCCAATTTGTGCAAACACTTGGCGCTGTCGAGCATCTGACACTCTGGTGATGAAACATATGATCAGCTTCCAGAGATTTTCTGGCCAACAAAGAGAATTCTTACTGTAGGACCACATGAGTGACTGATTGGAAGTCGAAATCCGCGTATTGGTCCTCTCCTAGCAACTTGACTTCAGGCAAATCCCAAGAAACGACAGCATCGTGATATGGAATTTTACCATCAACCAATGCAAGATGAGGTTCGTCTGTAGGCTTGCTCTCTGATCCTGCAGCACTTGACGCCATGGTAATTATTTTTATTTTGTTTCAAGCAAGAGAGAGATAGTAGACGGCAAGAAGTATGCGGCGCTGGTGTGAGTATTTGCTGAGTTTGGCAATGTGCCCTCGATCCAAAATGGGAGAAGAAGTTAGTGGAACATTTCGGAAAAATGCTAATGCGTTGTTTTAGGCGCCGATAAATAAGCCCCCGCAGCAACGTAGCATGATATTAAGCGCCCGTAACAAAGTGGGGTCTTTCAACTGGCCTGGCGTTTCAAGTATATTTGGAAATGCTGAAAAGTGGTTACGTCCAGGGACTTATACCAATGGTATATATTCAATAAGTTCAGACAAGGATATTGGGCCTCTGTTGGCTCTTCTTTGTGTTGCGGGCGCTTGCATCGATCATGTTCGGCGCTAACACATATCTGTGTGGGCTGGTTAGTCACATTCTCTGCACCGGAAGTTAACGCAAGGAAGATGGGACAGATCAGGTTTTGCCAGTATAAGAGACCGAGCTTTGAACCTCAGTTTTGATTATTATCAGACTTCTATTCACTTCCACACTGTTTATTATACACATCAAACCCAACACACGTCCTCAACTCCATAACTCTACAACTGGCTTCGCTCCCCCGCAGTAAGTCTTGAGTCAATGCCGGTGTTTCTTGATACAAAGAACCCTTTTCTAACTTTTTGCTAGAAAATGTGCTCCCACAAAGTCTATACCTACTTCTCATGCGGATGCACCGCCTCTGATGGAGTTATCGACTGTGACAACTTTCTCAGTACTGGAGAAAGATGCCTTCGAGAAACATGGGGAAATGTTCCCTGCGGAATGAAGCCAGGAAAGTGCGGTCCATGCCTCTTGCCGACACCCCCCGACTCTATTTAGATGTCGCCCTCTTTTTCTCATGAAGGACATGGTATTGAAGACTGCGGTCTGGTTTCTGAGCAGGTCATGGCGCTTTTGGGCATTGTCCGTTGGATATGTGTTACAATAAGGTTCATTTTAGTTGCAATTTCACACTCTTTCATCCCAATGTTGCTTGGTGTGCCACATAGTTGTGCATCGCCGCTGGGTTGTCATCGGGGCTAGGCATCGGCATTCAATACGCTACCAATGCAAGAACTACTGTATTTACAGCCCAACAGCAATTGAACTGGCGAAGTAAAGATTCGGCTCCTATTACATACTTGAGCACTCTCGACACCCTATATGCAAACACAACACATGCTAAGATCCTTTAAGGAGCCCCTTGGTTCCGTTTTGCTGACCGTGGTGGGCAACTATAGGAGTACGTGCCAGCTTGGAGGGCTTCTGTCGCACAAATCTCTGCATATCATAGAATCGGACCTGTCTTTGTAACACGATATGAAACTCTCATAGACCTGCCCCCCCTCTTTTGGATTTTAGGTTATCCGTTTGAAGTCCTGCTGAAGGCAATCATGGTTTGTCTCTACCTATCAAACGCCATTCACCGGTGCAGTACCTTGCTGGTCGGTACGGGAAAACCCCATAGATGGGCGTCACTCTCGCTTAAAAACTACTGTTAGAGAAAAGAATGCTTGCGAGATCATCTAGTACTCTGATGCTGCTTTTAGTCATCGGTAGTTCTGTATATGCAGACAAAAGAACTCTCCTCGATACCACGTGTGTCACGCAATCACATTCGAAAACCGTTCATGTAACGACACTCGCCTAAACCTCGAACATTGGGAAGTTTCCATGACACAACGGCGGCGTCACGGTATGGGACTTGGCCGTTGACGAGTTCGAGGTGAGGGGTACCTGAGGATTGGGGATCTGACTCGAAGACGGTTGAATTCAAGGCCATTCTACCATCTCCGGTAGGAGCACGAATACCATGGGGCTGTTGTACAAAGATATCGTATTCTGCCCCGAGCCTCTTTGTATTTTCAACTATGTTACAGTGCGGGGGAAACTCGGTGGCTTTCGTAGTTCTGTCCAACTACTCGAACTGAATACAGGGCGGTAAACACGGAACGCCTATTGGCTGGCTGGACATCGCCATAGCATACTAAGGGTTGAACTTCACAGCTTATAAACAAGTGATAGAACTCTCAATAAGAGTATGGTCATCATCGAGAGCGCAGCATCGTATTCCCCCTGTTCGTCCTTCTTGAAAAGGTGAATATGGGAGACCTCAACTCGTCGAATTTCACCCAGCCGTGGAATATTTCTATCATTAATTACAATGGAACGGATCATCTGTTATTAAAGTTTGCTCCACCTTGGGTCAGCTCTCCCACTGTCAGGGGCACGTTCGATATTCTTGAAAGCTGCATCTTTACCCTCATTGCCTGCATCTTCACGGCCCTTGATCTCGACGTAGTTTCTAACCCAACATGGCAACGACTGCTTTTCGAAAAGGCAAAATGGGTTCTGTTGACTATCGTTATTCCAGAAATCTCCATATTGACCGCCACCCGTCAGTTTATGGAAGCCTGGGAACTCAGGTCGGACCTTCAAAAGATGTGGAAACAACAGAAACCATCCAGATCTAGTCCTGACGCTGATGTAAGCCTTTTTATTTGGTGTTTTGCAACCGTTAATAACAGGAAGATAGTTCAAAATCAACACGAAATATGCCTACTTTATCATCATGGGAGGACTTCGTTTCGACGTCAGTGATATCCTCTCTCTTCCGGATCTCGACCCTTCAACCGAGAAACTGTTCAACGGCCCCAAAAATGGCCGGAAAACCGTTCGTGCAGGCCCGGGCGCTATACTGTCACTCGCCAAAGAGGGACACTGGATCAAAATTCAGCAGAATGAAATTGACGACAAGAGTAAAGCCAACGTATTTCAGAAAGTACTTGTTCTTATCCAAGTGCTCTGGATGTGTATGCAATGTTTTTGGAGGGGTGCATATGGATTTCCCATTACACTTCTGGAATTCCATACCCTGTTACATGTAGGGTTTGCTGTTTTCCAGTATTGTTTGTGGATCAAGGTTCGCATGTCTGCCCAAATCTCGTTGAACTTAGCTGATAACCGAACAGAAGCCTCTAGATGTTCAGGAAGCAATCGTGGTTCAATCGCACGGTTTTGAGGCCGAACTAGCCATAATGTTGCAGAAACAGTTCTACAGCAGGATGTCATACAGATTAGCCCTCTTCAAATCCCAACAAACCCCAGAACAGCCACCTCCACTAGGACCCTCCGGAAGACAAATGCGATGGATCGATCAAGTAGCGCCTACTAAGATGAAAGTTGGCGATATTCTAACATCTGGGCTCGCTCTTTATCGGATAGATGTCAAGAGTGGTTACTTCCCGCTTGAGAACATATGGGATCCTACGACAGTGATAAAACACAAAATCAAATCGAAAGATTCCCCGGACTTTTGTTTCGACCTCACACCTGAGTTCCTTAGGCGATGGGATGCTATTCTGTCCAAATTCCCCGATGAACAACGAGAGAACCTAGCTGAAACGATGGGATATAATCAAGTCTGGAGAAGTAACGTTGAAGCCGGTATACCTGACCTCCCGGAGAGAGAGAAACGCATCCTTCTCCTTACGCGACTGGTAGAATTCAGGCACGAGCCGCTTTTAGACCGCGAAAGGGAGTTTTGGGAGGGCAGAAGTATCTTCTCCTTAGATATTGCCCCGCACTTTGAAACGCAAGGCTTTCGAGAGACATATGGCCCCGTATGGAAGTTCTGGAGGTACGGCAAGGTATCACTTTTCGCCTCACTCTATTCTATTTCTTATGGTATTTATCATTTTGTACCAGGATTGTTGTTCAAGTTACCTTCGCACATAGAGGAAGTCTTATGGAAGGTGAGCTGTCTGTTTATTGTAGGCGCATTGCCCTTTTATTTCATGATATCAGGCTTGGTCTGGCTCACCATTTGGTGTTTGTTTCTCAACAAGTCTTATGTTCTCGTCTTCCCAAACAAAACCCCGGAAGTTCTCAAGAGGGCCATAAGACAGCTCGCCAAGTTTTATTGCATATACTTGCTATCTTGCATATACTTGCTATCTGTTTTAGGCATCGCATATTTTCTCTCAAGGGCCTACATTGTCGCCGAGATATTTGCAAGCCTGCGATATTGTCCTGTTGGAGTTTTCATCACCTTCCAGTGGTTAGAGCTGTTTCCGCATTTTTAGACATCTTCTTGATTATTGTTTCCTTTCTTTTTGGACAATTGTATTAGCACTCCCTTTAATAAGTTTGGCAGCTAGAAAGCTTTGTACTGGCGACCCTCAGTGACGCCATTAAGGCAACGATTCAAAATAGCAAATGAAGATCTTACATGCGATAGGCCTACATAATACACGCGTTTTGAGTTATGTGTTTTCAAGATGTTATGAATATCAAGGAAGCCGACAAGCTCAGGTTGAACATGAGTGTAAAACAAACCCATCGCGCCGCCCTAGTAGTAAACACAGGCGACGTTGGAATGCACTGAGGTGCGCTCGATCTTCTAAACATTGTCGGCTCGATGCTGAGTCGCTTTCCGTCGCAGTTCGTTTCTTGGGTGTAAGTTCCCCATGTCACGTTGGTCTAAGAGGACAATTCGATTAAAGGCTGGATTGAAGGACCAAGAGGACCATCTTGAGGTTGAGATGAATGTGACAAGCATGCATGCTGATCTGGCCTCGACAATAGATTAGTGGCAGCAAGTTAGTCTTTGTTAAGTGCTATTGTGTCATCAGCCTTGAGGTAATCTTTGTCGAGCAACTCATCGCGTTGTGGTGAGCCATACTCATACGGTACTCGCGTCTTGATCAGTGAGAACGTGATATTTCTTAACGGCCATAGCCCACTGTAATGTTGTATGCTGATGGGAGCAGTCACAATAGTTACAGTGGAGCACTACAGCCACGAACGGCCAGAAGATACGTACCTATGAGCGGCCCCTTGTGGAGTAAGAATACGGGACTTGAGATGAAAATATTGGTACAATCTTAGGAAAGAGTCCCCAAAGCTTAGGCCAAATTACCTGAGTCTTTTTATCTCTTAGGATTAGGATCATGAGTTTTCTTCCCTCCCTCGGGAGATCCCCAAATTCTAGGTACATCACCCACTGAAGGAAACGACGTAAAAGCAAGTGGTTTACACAAAAATTACTTCCGTCACAAAAACCTTCTCATTTTATGATCTCTTTGAGGCCTTAACTTCTTCATTTGTTGCTCAATTCCCCGACCCAAATTACTCTTTCCTTCAAACCTTAGTTTTCCTTCTCCCGGACTCCCTAAACGAACTCAGGCAGATCAATCTGTTATGACCTAGGATACGGTGCTGGCATAAAGCACATGAGTCTGTACACGCGCTGCCACACTGCCATCTTCGTGCATGACTTACAGCACATCGCAGTAGTGATTCAATGGCCCCAATCCGAATATACGACGTCGATAATTAACATGAAGCTTTGACCCTTCTCGAAAGCGATATATCATCCAGCTCCTCTATGCAGTTACAGTGATGCTTGGTGATGGACTAGCCCGCCGCACTGATCCATACAATCTGCGACGATTGCTCCAAGCCGTATGTAGTAGAAGTCTCAGAACATAACCGTTGTCAAATTAAGCCTGTGCAGAAAGACCTCGCGCTTATGTTGAAGTGGCTTCCAGCAGCTGGTGTCTCTTACACTAGGCCGCTGGTATACTGCCTGAGATCCTATATTGGGGTTGTTTTAAGTCAATAGACTAGGCAGCATTATATTGAATCTAATATATTATAAATTTATAACTCACTTATTTAAGTAAGTACTAAAATATATTATATAGTCTATTAACATATAGATAATGCCCTTGGGCTTTATTTAGCCCATAGCCGCGAGGATGTATAGCTACCACCGCAACGCGGTATTTATTAGTTAAGAAGCACTCAAAGGCTGGTGACATTCTTATATTGTTCAAAGCCATCGCGGACCAGAACCAGTCAGCGCGCTGGCATATGTAAGGCTTATGGAATATCACAAGGGTTGAATTATACTTATCGAGATCTGACTGGAGCAGTTTCTAACTTAATGATTTAAAGTTAAGACGTATAAGAGCTTAAATCAGCACGAAGAACTTGGATTAAGGCCATATATATTAGAAGAAAGGTAGATACAATTGCTAAGTTCTGTCGGCTGACTTAAGCTCTCGGCCACAAGTCTCAACTGCAAATAACACATCTAGCTCACAACTTAGACATTATACCGAGATGTCTGACCTATTACTAGTCATCGTGAAAGCTTCTAAGTAAAAGCTTATATTGAGGGAAACAATATCGTGTTCTCATTCATCCATCACCTGTGTTTGCAGCCTAAAGCTTAACCTTATAGGCCGCAGCTATCCCAGACGACTGGATGTTGGTATTTCCTCCGAACATTAACACCAGAAATGACTCATTCAACAATATAGTCTTTGGCTTTCTGCTTGCTTTGCCACTGGAGTTGGATATAAATACCCCCATGATCTCCCCCCTCTTGCCTTTTTCAGTCTCTCATCCAAACAGACGACCACTGAAGAACAAGAGGAAATGGCGCTCGCTGTGACAGATCCTTTCATTAGGCTACCACCGGAGCTACGTGTCCAGGTTCTCGTATCGACTGGCTGCAAAGCGTCGATATCACGGATAATCCAAGCCTCTCCCACCATGCTGCAACAATATGTCGCACACAAGAAGTCTATCCTACGACAAGTGCTTACCGCCGAGTTTGACCCCGAGATGAGACAAGATGCCATGGCTATTTTGCTGTTTCCGAGTCGTCGCAGCTCTGGTGATAAGCATCAACACAAGCAGCTTTGTCGTGCACACATGCTGGCTTGGTCAAGATCTCAGCTGCCCGATCCGTTCAAGGGTAACGACGACGACCTGGTGGGTCAGCTCAATAAATTACATGATCGAATTCTTCTTTTGGTCGAGGACTATATCACCAAAGCCACCGCTTCCTTTCCCCCTCAGGAATATCTCTGTCTACCAAAAGTTCAGCCGCCATCAATGGAAGGACATCTCATGTTCAAAGGTCTCAAGGTCGCACCGCGATTCAGTTCCGCCAGTCTCACATCCTCAGAACGGAAAAGGTTTGTCAAAGCATTTCTGGTTTTTGACCTACTATGCAAGAACAACACATTCGCTTATGTTCCCAGGAAGCCAGGGCCGCGTAAAATCAGCAACGCCGAGTACGAAGCCGTCGGGTGTGTCCATAGCTACGTCTGTTCTCTATACGGGGCAATGCTAGCACAATGCAACCATGCTGATCTCCCAGCCGCTTTGGCGCCTCCTTTATGGAGAACTCAGTTGTTTTCTCACGTTCCCGACGCCCTTTTCTTTGATGCGAACGTCTACGCACCTAATCTGCGTTTGCTTTCTCGCGACCGTGGCGATGATATTGGCGATGATATTCTGGCTGGTCTATCAATGCTTGGGCTCGATCGTCTCACCAATTTCCTTCGCTACAATATGGCTGAGCCAAATGAAAGGGAAGTACTCGACAAGAAACTCAAAGACGTCTGGAAGTTTGGATCCCCTTCTATCTCCCACCCGTGGGAATCGTACTTTGCGGTGTTACTCGTAACCAAGCGAAAATACAAAAATGGTTGTGAATCATCTTTATACAAGCGGCTCTCTTTGAAGTCCGAAGAGAAACTCAGATACAAGCTCGGCCAGGAGCGCGCTTGGGTATTTTTCGATGACAATCGCTTTTACCCGCAAGAGAGCACCGAACAACCAACTTTTCCATCAGAGACATTCCTTGCGGAACAGTCGGCTAAGAAAACTTTTATTAACGATTGGTTTGATAATTTGAGAGATAGAAAAGATTAAATACGAGGCTAAGCTACTAGGGCATATTCCTTCTACCAAATGATCCCAAGCCACCACGGATAAAGTGGACCAGTCAAAGTCTCTCTCTACTTTATTCTGAAAATATGGTCACAATTTGATAAATGATGAAGCTTCTAAATTTATGGAGATTATGTCTGGTTTTAACTCTCATGGCTTTCCTAATCATAAGGTACTGAGGTCTTGGGGGCTGACCTGTGCTACTTCGACCAATGAGATGCTATTTCGGTGTATGACTCTGCCTACGTCATATTCAAGCTATGTCCAACATGAGGCAACAGAGCCCCTCAATGGGTATCTTCGCAGTAAGAAAGCGGGTTGAAATTAACTTGATATACTCAAAATCAACAGTACAACGCCTAAATCTATCCTGAATTTATTTGTACTCAACTAACTTCACCTAAATCTTTCTATGTCTTAGGATACAGTCTTTAGGTTTTCTCTCCCCCAATTGACGTCGATCTCAAGTATTTTACAGTGCCTTAATCAGAATATGGCTCCAGATACTTTTCCAAAATTCCTCCAACTTCCCAAAGAGATTCAGATTCTTATCTGGGAAGCCGCAGTCCGCCCAGTTCCGGGCGATCGCCACGTTCACCGATTCTATATCGCCGACTATCGTGTTCTCCAGCCGACTCCCATGAAACCGATACAAGGGAGGTTTCTTCGCTTGCTACGCACTATTAAATTCGAATACGAGTCCGTGAACATTGCTCCAGGACTCTCACTAGCTGTCCCAATTGATGATGTCGCGGGCAGCCCAAATGACTCCGTCTACCTGACAGACAGCTCTCTATGGGCTCTTTGCAAGGAATCACGTCAAGCAATGGAGAGATGCTTCACTAAGAATGAATGGTGGTCGCATATCAAGTCCCCCTTCCACCCAAAACGTACAGCAGAACCAGGCCAGTATATCGGCCAAAGAGGTGCAGCTCATACAGCATCTTACCAAGAAAACGATGGTGTCGCCAAGCATATCACAATAGATTTCGACAACGATCTCATCCATCTTGATCCTCGATGGCTTAGCCATGTGGATTGGTGGCATGTTAGCCCAAGTGTCTTTCTATCTCTATTTGACGAAGGCCCCTCCCATGAAAGATCAGGATTCAGCTTCATAGGGAGCAACATTGCGATGGATTATGACCCCTCGATTATGGATACACTCGAGAACCGCAGGGTCCACTACAACCAGATAGGATTGGGGATGACTCGTGGAGCTTTTCAAGACATGATCAGTTATTTCCTTGACATTGCCAAGCTCACGATTTGGTACATCGATTACAGCTTGATACGGGCACAGCATATCCCAA